TAGAAGAGTAACGACGTATATAAATCTGTTAGGGTAATTGGTTATATAGTGAATTAGGTTTTTTTGTGTATCTATACAGCCCAATTTCTCTTCATTGTATACAACTTTTCTTTTATTTTACATTTCTGTTCATCTTTTCATAATTCAAATTCAATGCACTTGTTTAAAACCCCAACCATCGCATTTGGTGAATCGCTAAGAAGGCAATCACCGACAAGAAACCAATCACTCTTTATTGAAGTGTTCGTCTAAATTTATGCTTCATTAGTAGTAAAATACATAGACCATTCTTTCTTTAAAAAAGAACGATTGATGGAAAGTGCATAGGGTAAAAACTTTAATGTTTTTATGAAAAATGATATTTTCGATTTTCAAGCATGGGATACCATTTACAGTACTAGGTATTAAATTTTTAACCGTTGGCCACATATAGACCCCTCTCCGTCTGTGCGTTACTCATGGGCACACGGGCGTGACATACGCGTCTGGTAACTGATACAACTTCTCGCACGTGTACCCTTTGGTCACAACAAGTGTGATCTCTACGGGAAGCTTTCAGTTATGCCCGTGATTCACTTACGGTATCAATGATGAATCAGATGACGGAACTGTATGTTAACGACGTTAAGTAGAACTTTTAACGGTAGGTTCTGCGTAGTCAGGATGACCATAACGCCCTTATGTAATTTTCCCCACTACATTCGTCTGTGTTCTTGATAATTTTACATTAATGGATCTTGTAAATTCCCACCGCCGTACACAAAGCTGAAAACAATCTGAGTTCATAAATACCATAACACTATGCAGTGTTATCTAATAAAATTCGTATTTAGCCTAAATATGAGCGTTATTTGACCAGTCCTCAACATGAATACATTAACGAATTACAAAAAAGCAAAACTCCTTTGACAGTACAAATTGAGGTAGATTATACTATCAATTACTAACATGGGTCGTTTAAAACTTATTAATTATATAGAAGATCAAAGAATAATGCAAGAGCAACATGGGAACATGATTAGAGCATAATAAGAATATTTGTCTTAGTGATTAGTGATAACCTTGAATTTTAAAATTTATTATGATTAACGGTGGATGAAAACGCCAAGCTGGCTCTGATCCTTTCTGACAATTTCACATTGTCTTTTTTTACCAAAATTATATTGGACTTTCCACCAGAATCCTTTAATTATATTATTACCATTTTATTAAATAATTTTATATATTTATATATTTTTATTTCCCTATCAATAAACTTGGTTCCTGTCATTTTCAGTATCAAATGACTATATTCAACTGTATTTTTTTCTTTCTTAAATATATTTTCTGTATTTAAATAGAGGAAACGGTGTAATAAAGGTGATAATGAGAATATTAAAATATTTATTTTTGAAATATTTCTAGAGAAGGTAAAAAATAGAGTATTTGCACTCCATACACACACTAAACCTCATAATTCATTCCATACCCTATTTCTTTCTTTATCTCTCCTCCCCACACATTACTATTTTCCCCACCAAAAATGGCAAATCCCTAATTTCCCATTTTCTTATGGATTTCTACCCAATTCACTCTAAAAAATAAGTAAAAATAAGAGAGAGAAAAAGGGAAGCTTTTTGTATTGAGTTTAGAGAGAGTGAGAGAGAGAAGTAGGAAAGTTTGGATTTTGAGCTGGTGTGGTTGGATTTTAGCGAGAACGAAACGAGACCCCACCACCCCTCCAAAGACTTTTGTCCCAGTGAACAACATTGTTCATTCAGCTCCTCTGTTCTTCTCTTCGTTAGGGTTTCGAAGCTCGAGAGTCTGTTAGTGTAATTTTTTTGACTAAAGCTCTGAGCTTTTTAGTGTTTTCCGGCGACAATGGGAGGGGTGCATCTGAGCAAGGAGAAGCTAGCTAGAGGTCTCTTGGTGTGTTTGTGGCTGTGGGGTTTCATCTCGCTATCATACGCCGCAAGGTCAGGCGTATCTAAGCAGAAGTTCCAAGTAAAGAAGCATATGAAGAGGTTAAACAAACCTGCTGTCAAGAGCATTCAGGTAAGACAAAATCTTGTCTTCTTCTTTCTTCTTATTGGATTGATTTTGTAAACATCATTTTAATCTGATAATGATTCCTGATTTCTCTCTCCTCCTCCTCCCACTACACATAATGATAATTCGTTTCACTTTCTTTCTTTTTTTGGTGAATAAGTAAACAATGTCTAGCTTATATCGTCATAATGAAGTATCTTCTCGCTACACTACAGTTAAATGCTACTCTAGTTTAAGTTTTTTTTTTTTTTTTTCTGACTGAAAGTTTCCTACTTTGAATGTGTTTGTTAAACAGAGCCCAGATGGTGATATAATTGACTGTGTTCCTATCACTAAGCAACCAGCTTTTGATCATCCTTACCTCAAAGATCACAAGATTCAGGTTACATAGATAAAAAAAACATTATTTATAATTGTATTTGGGCTTTGTGTGTGTTTATGTTCTAAGTGCTTATGTTTAGTCTACTGGTGTTTCTTCTTTAGATGAAGCCTAATTACCATCCTGAGGGACTCTTTGATGACAACAAAGTGTCTTCTACTAAATCTAATGACAAGGAAACGCATATCCCTCAGTTATGGCATCGATATGGTAAATGCGAGGAAGGAACCATTCCCATGAGGAGGACAAAGGAAGATGATGTCTTGAGAGCAAGCTCAGTCAAAAGATATGGCAAGAAGAAGCATAGAACTGTTCCTTTACCTAAATCTGCAGAACCTGACCTCATTAACCAAAGTGGTCACCAGGTGAGTCAAGTGTCCTTGTGTAAGACTTTTTTTTTTTTTTTTTTCTTGATCTGAAATATGTTATTTTTCTCTTGAATTGCAGCATGCCATAGCTTATGTGGAAGGAGATAAGTACTATGGAGCTAAAGCAACTATAAATGTATGGGAGCCAAAGATACAGCAGCAGAACGAGTTCAGCTTGTCGCAGATATGGCTTCTTGGTGGCTCTTTCGGACAAGATCTTAACAGCATCGAAGCTGGTTGGCAGGTAAGCTCAGTGAACATTTGGGGAATGTGAATATGATTTGTTTTTCATGTTCGGTACATTGATTTGTGTTGCTTTACTATAGGTGAGCCCAGATCTCTATGGTGACAATAACACGAGACTCTTCACTTACTGGACTGTAAGTCCCTGAAACCACCGTCTAATTAAATTCTTATGGTCATGTGCTTATGTATATTTGCTTACATTTCTTACCCCAAACTATATGCAGAGTGATGCATATCAAGCTACCGGTTGCTACAATCTTCTTTGCTCAGGTTTTATTCAGATCAACAGCGACATAGCAATGGGAGCAAGCATCTCCCCAGTCTCTGGATATCGCAATTCGCAGTATGATATCAGTATTCTGATATGGAAGGTATATTAAACCATAAAGAGATAAGCTTAAAGGCAACCCAAAAGAAGAAAAAAAAGCTGAAATGTTTCTATATTATTAATTCATGTGGAAATGGTCTGTTAACTTTTGTCACAGGATCCAAAAGAGGGACACTGGTGGATGCAATTTGGAAACGGCAATGTTCTAGGATATTGGCCATCTTTTCTCTTCTCCTACTTAACTGAAAGTGCTTCGATGATTGAATGGGGAGGAGAAGTGGTCAACTCACAAGCAGATGGCCACCACACTTCAACACAAATGGGCAGTGGTAGGTTCCCAGAAGAAGGCTTCAGCAAAGCAAGTTACTTCAGGAACATTCAGGTGGTTGATTCTTCAAACGACCTCAAGGCACCTAAAGGACTTGGAACATTCACTGAACAGTCTAACTGTTACGATGTGCAACCCGGAAACAATGATGATTGGGGTCATTACTTCTACTATGGAGGTCCTGGTAAAAACGAGAACTGTCCATAAACTAGGCACCTTGTACTGGCTCGTCTCTTGGGATCTGTTGTTTTGTGAGTTCACCATGTTTCTTTCTACACACAGTTAATGCACCTTCTTGGGTAGTTTTAGAGATGGTAAAAGTTATGTAATGGTTAGTTTTAGGGGGTTGTTTGGTTTCTTCTTCTCCATGTAAGTAGATGGGGAAGAGGAAGGTGTGGCTTAAGTTTCTCTGAAAACTTTGGCCTTTGATAAAAGCTTACTTTGTGTCCTAGTATTGTGTAATTTGCTTAATCAAGTGAACGAATCTCTCACTCTCCCTCTTATCAAAAGTTTCACAAAAAGTTAAATAACTTTTGTCTGTATTATTACCCATAGCAACTCTCCATTTCCCTTTTTGGCAATAAGGGAGAATACTCAATTGCTTTTTGTTGTTATATGAGTCTAAAAGTGTTCATGGACTGCAGAAACATTTTTAGTTGGTTATGACATGAACTGAACCTTTGGAGGATGATCTTTTGCATATGGGTGAATGATATCTTTCCTTTTCTACTTTTTCAGTTCCACAGCATAACGACGAAAAATAAAGTTTCTATGAATCTTACAGTATACCATATACATGGTCCAACTTATACTTGAGGAAAGGAATGGTAAGGAATACTATATTTGGAATGAGAATTCTTAAAAATCGTGGACGTCGTGCTGCTTGGAACATATTTCTTCATGAATCTGTTGGTGGAAAAGACTGTCAATTCCCGGGAGATATCCTGCGAAATGGGTCTTGATCCTGAATCCTGATTTTTAGGGCTATACCATTGTCCCGACCACTATACATACACCCAGGGGAAGAAGCATCTTTTGTTCTTTCAGTCATCACAAAAGCCTCCATTGTCCTTGAAGCTCTGTAGTTCCCTTATAGGCAGATGGCTCTCTCCTTCCTTCTCACCAACTGGCTTGCCAAGTTGCCATGAAAATTTATTTTCCAAGTGCTTGTGTTGTTCAAGGAACCAGATGGCTCAGTTTCTCTACGTTATGGACTTGTTTACTCGCAATCAGCGCAACATTAGAGAAGGTAAGTTTCTTAATCTTTCTGCATGGATTGCTCCCGAAAATACTCAGGCTTGACTCCCCCTTAACAGCATCTGATCTGGTAGCTGGCCGTTGTCTGGTGGATCTTGGATTGAAAGGTTTTATTTGTTTCCAGAGAGGATGAAATTCACTGGAGGAAGCTCTTTGCAGGCATGGCTCACGCATCATGTTTCCATTTGTAACTAGTGTGACAGGTACAGATTTATGTAGAATAACTACTTGGTAACTGAGAAAACAAAGGTAGTAGGAGACCTGTTACAAGTTAGGTAAATGAGTTGGTGGTGGTAGCTCCAGTTTTGGTTGATGTGTTGTAATAATATTCAGACACTAATCTTTTCTCATATTTCGTTTCCAATATAATAAAATATGTAATCTCTTTCTTGATCTGTGTTTGGAGGTCTCATTACACTGTTAACTCATCCATTTCCTCCAAGAACATTTTCTCATCATGTAACTCTTGGGATGCATGAAATAACTGCAGAATCAACAAGTTCAACAACAAAAAGGCTGATAAAATGAGACTAATAGATTGGCTTCGAAAGCAAAACATCAACAAAAATACAAGTGACCTGTGAAGAAGAACAGAGGCATCTGAAAATGTAACGAAATAAACAAAAACAGAATCTTGTGCATTGTCTCCTTTCTAGCCTTCAACAATCTTGAATATTTCTTAAGCCACCTTTGTTCGGCTGTTCTTCACTCTGAATCGCTGTCCATGCTACCCATTGCCTTCAATCCTCTTGGTCGCTTCATAGAAACATAACATTATCTTTTCCATCCACAGAGAAACTAAGTGTACTACTCACTATCTACTGTAGAAAGAGACAAATAAAAACAATGGGGTACCTTCTTTGAAGTCTTCTTCTCTCTTACTTCATACCTCTCTTTGCCCAGATCTGATAACCAAGTACCTGGACTCACCAGCTGCGTTAAACATCACATACTCATGAGATTTGGATCAGAATGAGACAGTATTGAAGAAACACAAATGATGAAGGGGACTCACAAGCAATGTCTTCTGAATCAATTTGGGTCGTTTCTTGGGTCTTTGAGGAAGCTTGCACCCTTTCATAGCCAAGAAATCTTCTTCCTTCTCCTTATTTGACAAAGTTATAAACAACTTTGGCCACACATGCTTCTTGTTTTCCTTCACAGGTTCCCTTATAGTTTTTCCATTCTCATCTGTACCACCCATAGAACCCCTCGTTGTGTAGTATCTATCTTCCTTCTCAGGGGATGCCACAAACGATCTCCTAACATTACCTGGAGAATCTACCATCCTATCACCAAATAGACATAACAACATTAGAAAACTAAAGAAAAAATCACTCCCAGAGAGAACAGCTCTGAATCAGGTTTTACTTGTTTGGACGGTTAAGATGGCGAGAAGGTGAGCCTCTCTCAGAAGACACAGCTCGGGGCATGAGTTTGCGCTTAGGCAAAGAAGCAGATGACTTGCCATCTCTAAGGCTTTGATCTTTCTTCACTTTCATGCATCTAACTCTTTTTCTCTCTCCCCATTGCAACACAAAATCTGCCTCTGTGGTTCCACTTCCTCTTTGTCCCTTCACTTCTTCCATTTACACCTTACACAACCCAACAAAGACATATATACTCAGACATCAAACATTCATCTAGACAACAGGAAGATCACATCCAGACTAAGAAAGTTTCAGCCATTTTATAGAATAAATGCACACAAAAGGGAAGAAAAAAAGATCCTTCCATCTATTAAATTGAAATAAACCAGAGATAAGAAAAGATCAATCCACTAACCTCAAGATCTGCAACTTAAATTCAGCGGCTTTGGCTACCACAATACCAGAATCGATTCTTCAATATCCAAAACAGTATAAGAAAAGATTAATAAGAAAAAAGAGTGTTAACAACAGAAGAATCATTCTTCAAAATTTCTAGAAACCCAAATCCACCATTGTTTTCTCTAGACTCTAGGCAAGACAATCAAGAATGATAAGAGAACACTTACAAGGGTGAAACTTCATGAAACCAAAGACAGAACTTTGAATCTGTATAGATAGATTCAAACTCAAGGAAGTGTGTAGATTTTGCGAAGTTTTTTTATTTTAAATAAAATGGTCGATGAGACCAGAAGATCGAACACTGTCTTTTATTTGTTCTCTCTCAAGCCTTTTTGTTCTATCTATCCTTTGAACTCTAAACACACAAACAAGAGAAGAAACTGCTTAGTTCTTACCCTCTCTGATCTTTACTGCTACTAACGCACCTTCTTTAGCCCATTTTTTCTTCTTATTTTTACCCTTTTGCTATTTTCTCATTTTAATTTCTTTTAATTAATATCAACCGTTGGATATAGAATGGACGGCTAGTTGGACTTCGAGAGCTTAAAAAGCCCTAGCCTATTGTGTAATTACGAGCAATTCATTATGGATAATATCAAATTATATTATGACACGTGTAGTACGTGACGAGAACACGTTACACCTAGTTTGATGGATAAATAATAATATCTGGCGAGAAAATCTTATTTAAGATTTGCGTTAAGACAGTAAAGATTTAGTACCACGCGCCTCTGACAGTCTTTTATAGCAGTGGTCTTCACGCCTAAAAGATATGCGTGGGGTTAGATTGAAGCCTCTCAAAAGAATATTTGTATTAATCATACTTGGGCTAAAGATTGGCCTTCCCCAGATCTCTCTGTGCCTCTAGTATCCATTGCATTTACAAACTTTTTATATTCACAAATTTATGTCCTTTTTTCTGTTTTTTTTTTTAATTTTTTAATTATTACTTTTTCTTTACTTTCTAGATTAATTTTTTTTAAAAAAAATATCAACCAATCGCGGACCAACATGTGTCGTGGAGGCCCGCAAATAGTGCAAGGATTCACTAAAAATAATCTTTATTTAGAAATTTTTAAAAATAAATTCTTAACTTTTTGTGGAGTCTACTGATTATTTAATTATTTTTTTCTTAAATATTTTTCCTTAAGGACCACTATTGCGGGTGCTCTTACATATTCCTTTTAGTTTTCTTTCTTTTTCTTCTTTTTATCCATATTAGTTTTCTTATTTCTTGTATTTTTAACGTTTTATCATTTAAGGAGAAAAAACCATTTATTTACCTGAATTAATCGTTTTAACTTTTAACATCGATTTCATTGTCGCTATAAAGTTAACCGTCAATCTAAATATATTTTTCAATTTAAGTTGTATGTATTGCTGCTAGCTTGTTATCAGCCCCATTATATTTTGAATCCTTTATATACTCCTTTAGTTTTAAATTAGTTGTTGTTCTATAGTTATTCACACAAATTAAAAAAAAATAGTTAAACTAGAGATTATTCCGAGCTACACCCGGTTTTTATCTTTATATTAATTTATTTTATTATAAAGTATATTTGACTATATATTTTACACTGATATTGAATATACTACATAAGTTATTAGATAAATTTACAATTTCTTGTATTGTTTATGTTGACTTTAAATTTAAAATTTAATACATATAATTTGGTAACATACTGAACAAAAATAAATTAATTTCTTAGTTAAAACTAAATTATTTTTGTTATCTCATTTATTTGAATTTTGTGAAAATGACTATTAACATATAATCCAAACAGTGTTTTAACAGTAAAATCAACTGCTACATATTTTAAAATTTTAATATTGATTATTTCTCATATGTTATTTTCTTTCTGTAAACATCCAAATGTCTCTTCTTTGAACATGTACAACGCATTTTCTGCTGCTTGAAGTAACAACGATCCTCTTCGTCCACCAGCATAAGATTTAGATAATACATGACATTGAATTTGTTGCTGATGTTCTGAGAATCTACCTCCATCAAGCTGCACCGTACTTCTTTCTTTACTTGTTTCTTTCATAAAACACTCTATTCAACCCTCCATAAATTAAAAGCATTAGATATGTGCACATAAACACAAGTTTCATCTAGATCTAATTTTATCAAACACTTTACTACTCATTCAGCCATATCAATGTTACCATTTTTCCTGCAAATAGAAAGAAAAGAGCTCCGTATAATAGTAGCTTCTTCCACTCTTATGTTCTTTTATTATTGCTTCGACTTCCTCCAACAGTTTTTATCACCCAACACATTAACCATGTAGTGTAGTGTTTTATCGATGGATTAATAAATTAAATTACTTTTATCTCATCATTAAACTGATCAAATAACCAGTTGTATTTTCCAATTCCAGACAAATTCAAATTTACAGTTATCAAATCTTTGATCACCATCCTACCAAGTGATTATTGTTCCATTGTTTTGCATGGTGCATACACATATAACCAGGTCCCTAAAATTTAAATAATGACAGAACCATTACAACATATGTGTGCAAACTATGAAAATAGGAAAACCTAGAAATTAGCAAGAATGAATTTCTTACTTAAGTTTCACAACCGTACTAATACCAAACAAACTCACTAATGTAAATATGATGAAGATTTTGGTTCTAACAAAATGATGCAAATACACTAATAAGTTAACTGATATTCAAACCTATAGTATAGAACCAATAACTGCTATAAAAGATATTTTCTCTAGAAAAAAAAAACTGATATAGAAGATAATGATAACTATCCAAACAATTGAATTAGCTTTTCAAAGCTAAAATAAAACACATACGATGTAAGAGTTTATCCTCTGAAAAGTTTAAAAAAAAGATTGATCAATTTTAACTTGCGAGCTTCAGACAGTTGCAGGAGGCGGCCTAAAATTGAAGCAATAAAACTATAAGTTAAAAAGTAAAGAGAATACTTGTCGTTAAAATATGATTCGCCAGTAACATCATACACAAGCAAAATTTCCATGACTCCACGATTATATGATGCAATAAGAAGAAACACATAGGTGAGTACTACAGGTCCCACCATAGTGAGAAAAGAGAAAGAAAGCATATATAGTAAGATGAATCAAAAAGCAAAATATGGGATATACTAAATCAAAACTAAGAGAAACCAGTTGTGATAGTCCGAAATCGCTCTTGTTTGGTAGTATCCCAGATTTGCAGCTTTGTTCTTTTGTAATCCAGCTCAATAGCCCGTATCTTGAGATTAATTCTGTCAACAAAAAAAAAACTTGAGTGACTGTTGACCACTACAAAGAGCACGACGAATAGTGTCATGTATCAAATAGATCATACTTTGTAGTTGTAATGAAAGAGATCAACATGGTTCTTTTCGTAAGTTGCATGACTGAAGAGAAACATGCTCTTCAATTACGTCTTTTTCATTCTTTTGATCCAATCATGTTTAATCAAGAAACGAAAGAGAAACATAATTTTATAAATATACTATGATTTAAGAGAAGATAAGATATGATAGGAATTATGAGATTATTTTACTATGGAGAAAAACATATAGAGATGTGGCGCTGCAATAGATAGAAAGAACATGAAACAAAAATATAAAGAGAGAGTTTTTATAACTCGACTTTCGTTTTTACAAACGAAAACCCTCTTTAATAGAAGTAAAATAATATGAGCGTTTTTATTGAAATCAAATCGATTATCGAACTAAGAAAGGTGATTGATTTTTGTACCAAAACTTTTTCGTGAAAAAAAAGATAGATTAAAAAAGTTAACTGCGTATGTAATTACATGGTCTAAATATTTTTTTTCTAAAGAAATGACATGTCATTAATTCAGTATATGATTGGTTGATTAAATATGCTGAAGTGGACACTCTAGATGTTGATTATATTCTCCTTTTAGTATTGTAAGATGTTACACTTTGGCCTTGTTTGATTATGTTAAACATTTAGTGTTTAAGAAAAATTAATTAAAGGCAAAGAGGATAAATTAATGAAAAAAACTGCATTAAATTGATAAAACGGCATTTATTTTATAACAAAAAATTTATACAACAATGACACTTAATTTGAAACGGTGGGATCATTAATTAGAAGCACCCTTGTTAGGAACTATGCTAAGCGCTAGTCGGACGACTGGGTCAAGCTTAGCGCCTAGTAAAAAAATCAGGGGTTAAGCAGAAATTACGCAGAGCGGTTTTTTAGATTGTTTAATACGTTGTAAAACATGTTAATTTTTTAAAAATAAAATTAATACATTTTCATGTTTAAATTGTATAAAACACACAAATATAAAATATAAAGTTAATATAGTATATTTTAATAAATATTATGTAAATAAGTTTCACTTATATATAATATTTTAGATAAAATAAAAATATTTTAAAACTTAATTAAAAAAATAAATTAGGCGGCTAGACCGTTATTTAGACGGTTAGGAATTTAGATGGCTAGGCCTTCATTTAGGCAGCCTAGACGAACTAAAATAAAACATTCAATTTGTTAAACCAATTTGGTATAAATCAGGGTGGATGAATGAAGCGGCTAGGCATTCAATTTTTAGAACAAAGAGAAACACTACACATATGAGTTATGACATTGTATCATCAATAGAATAATTCTAAGAATCTTTAGAGAAATAGTTTAATCCATCTAAACATATACTATGTTTTCATGAAATTAACCATAAAATTAGTTAGTAATCTACAAAAAAATATTTATTTTTAAAATAGAAATAAAATTTACGAAATTACCTATTGTGATTAAAATATATGTGACAATTGTTGATTTTGAATAATAAATATTTGATAACAATTTTTATATATCTACCGTTTAAAAAATATATATATATATAATAAATTAAACAATCACATTAATCATATAATAAAAATTAGAAATTTCCAAATATGTTATATTTGAAATTCTTAAGAACGATTATAAATTACTAAAACTGTTAAAAGTTTTGTATTGAAAATTTTGTGATTAATGGTTGAAATTTTTCATTATAACAAGATACAAAAGATCATAAAATCATAAAAGCAAAAAACTCATTTAAGAAATTCATATATATATATATATATATTCAATATCATTTAAATTAATATATCCCACATAAAATACATAAAATATTTTAATTTCAAAATTTAGAAATATGTATTATACTTGATCTGATAAAAATCAAATATTTTTATAATATTAATTTGAAAAATTCATAAAATTATATTTTAAATATCCTTTGTTATTATTTAAAAATTATTTATTTAACAGATATTTATAAAAAAATCTCCATATACACATAGCACATATTATTTACCTAGTTATAATTAAACATTAAAAATATAAACTTGTTGATCAGTCAGACTTTCACATATTTCAAATGTCAGAGAGGAGATGAACTAGAAAC